ACTTTTTCTGATCGTATTCAACGTAAAACATAAATCACGACACCGTGAGCAATCGGAATGACAAGAACAACTCAAACGTATCAGTCGCGAATATCACCAATTCAAGTTCTGAGGAACTTATCAATTGAAATCGCTGAGTTATAGAGATCCAGGCTGCTCAAAAATCAGCAGTCATTGATGAACTAATTCAAAGATAGGAAAAATTATGGATGATCGGATGAAGTTATCGCGTATCTATCAACAACTACCAAAATCAGCGCATGTTAATCAATCTTACAATTAGTATGTGAGATCGATAGTGACATTTTGCCGTTAGATCATCAATTCAGAAGCTGGAAAACTACTGTTCGAGGTATGCTGTGAATGCATAAATCATAGCTAAACAGATCTCATGCTCAAGCTCACTGCATTATCGATAGAAGCGCTTGTATTCGTTTATCGACCTCACAGTACGATCATCCTATTCACAATCAGTTAATTTGATGAGCGTAAGCGGATTCACACTGTGTAGATGTGCATGAACTTGCGCCTATATTCAACAAGCGCTTATCATACAAATGTTATATTGCATCAGATTAGGACACTACAGTTTTAATCGAATGCGTGGCGATTGTGTCTAAAAAAATTTGAATTTATGTGTGAAGGCGACTTGGAACCATGCACTCAACCCGGTTACGCTATGGAACTGCCTTCGTTGGATAAATTCATAAGAGTATTCAACGAAAATTTGACAGTAGTCGAGTCGACAGTCGAAGCAAAATTGAAGATTCAACGTAAATTCTTGATCAATCAATTCAACAAAACAACTGAATGGAACAACAAATGGAAGCTGATTGTCATTCTTCCAAGTCTTCAAGTAAGCTGAATTTCACAAAGACTCGCTCAATTTGATCTTAACTCCTCAGCAGTGATCGTAATCAATGATTGTTCACGTCTCCAGATTTTTGAACAGTGATCGTGAATGTTTCGCTTTCCTCACAAAACATTCATCGAATATATTACCGAGTTGAACGTTCATGATAGATGAAAGCAAATTCAGACGAAGAAACACTTATTGAAAGGTCTGCTGAAATAAACATAATATATTCTAATCGATGTGTTTGAATTCAGGACGGTGAAGCAACTGAAACTGGACAAGCCGCCATTGAAGTACTGGAAACAATCGAGGAGTTACATAGTGTCATACCGAACAGGACAATCATTGTCGTGGTTCGAGCGTCCGGTAGAGGTTTATGGGAGGATGCTATACATACACATCAAGCGTGTCGAATCATTCTAGAAGGATATCAGTTTCATTCACGCCTCAATTCTGAATCCATTTGGGATCAGGTGACTACATACGTCTTCTGTAGACGGACTCTAGAAGCACACTTTAACAAGCCACATCTAGATCACAACTGCTCACGTCGAAAATTCAAAACCATGAAGATTATGTTTCAGTTAAGAAAAATCTGTGGATAATTTGATTTTCTTGCGAACTCTCAGTCACTTCCACGAGATTAAAATTGTAAAGTTTCCGCTGAAATACGTTCACAAAAATCGGAAACAGTTATCAAAGCGGCGTATCTTACTCAAGTTTTCCTATCAATTCAATTTCCAACGATGCTGTGAAGTCGTCCGCTTTTGAATGGTGATCCGTGATCGCCTCAAGCGAACGAGAAACCACATTTTGGTTGAGTGAGACAACTGAATTTCAGATAGAAACCATTTGTGAGTTGAACTATCAAAGTGATCTGTTCTCGGTTCAGATATTACCGCTACTGAATGATGCTGCTCTCACAAATTTACCGGATAAAACGTAGGTTCATTTGCATAAATTTTCCTTCTCCCTCTAGTCATTGTCAGCAAAAATCTGCTTATACAGACGTAAACTTTCACTAAATTTTCTCATCTTTCAACCTCGTAAAAGGTAAGAAGCCATCCATCTCTCACTGCATAGGCTTATTGTTATTTGACAACGTATTTAAGCAAAGTTCAATCGTGAAAAGTTCTCTGTATGTTTTCAGGATGGATCTTTCAATGCTTGGCTATAATTGCGCACATTTATCGGAGCGTGGTCTTTCACTTCTTCATATCAATGTATGGAACTCACTTTTAACTAAACAATCCGAGCGTACGCATCATTTTCGCCCCAGATTTGTCTTACCTCATTGCGTTGATCCTCAATGTCCTTTTATTCGAACGCACAACAATAGTGCCTTATGCTTGTGGAATAAACAACAGTCTAAGGTGAGTCAGCCAGCAGCCATTATCGTTTCGTCAACATTTTGTTACATGCACATTTGAACATCCATCCCACTTACATTCAACGAATTATGCCATTCTCATCTCAATGAATCAATCACTTCAGTTCACACCAATTTACTAACCATAAATCTCACAGTCAGTCCAAAACCTAACCTTGCGCTTCCACCAATCCGTAAACTAGTTTCTGATTACGAGTCTAAGCCAATTGTGATGCTTCAATAGATAGATTCTGAAGGTTTGATGAAATGCTGATATGATGACAAATAAACTGATCGTGAGAGTACTGCAAGAACGGGAAGAAGATAATCTTTTACAACGCTAGTGCAAACTGACTTGCATTCCATCCATATTCTCGCTTTTCTATGAACAACTCAATCATCGATCTAATTTTTGAATGTGAAGTTTTTGTGCATCTCCACTAAAAATTTCATATTATTATATCATCAGTCTTGCTTTGGAGAACATGAGCAATTGGTTGTTGGTGATGATGTGTTTGCTACGAAAACAAAAGACTGAATTTTTGCAAAGATGTGGCAATAATCATAAGCACTTTAGAAAACCAGTCAAAAACACATAAAATTTATCGCCATATGAAGTGTCCGTTTGAAGTTTCACTACGCTTTATGACATTCACATATGTTATGCCCATCCGCCCATGCACTTTTTATGTGTATTGAAAAAAAAAACCAAATTGTGTCTGTTTTCATTCGCTGGAGTATTGTTTCCGCTCAGCAAATGCTGAATATATTTCCAGACTTTGCACTAGGAAAAAAATTTACTAGCGAATCTTTCACTAGGAATAGCAAATGAAACTGATTCATTTCCAAAAAATGTGGTTTGGTGAAGAAACGGGCCACTTTGATAACAGGGAAACAGTGCTCTTGAAGAATTTGAGAGAACCTCACAGATCAAATCGTTGTTTACATTTTGGCTTATTCTCTGGCCTCGTACAGTTAGTCATTACTTCTTTGATAAAATTCACAAAGAACAGGAAATATTCAACTGCATACGTGTCATTTCCGTCCGTATCGAATAGCATAAGATTACGTCAATTGACATTTGATAGTGTGTTGATCACTGTTGAAATTATTTGAGGAAAAAACGAAAAAAATTTCGAAAAAAATTGAACATTACGTCATAAAATAAACAATGAATCCATTGCACTCTTTTCTCTTTTTTTGATTCATTTGAGGAATGTTTAAATTGTTTGCTGTCTTAACCTCACACTGTTCAGGAATCACCAGCATGCACCTAGCCTTCATTCTCTTCTCTTAATTTTTGTTGCTCTTCGTCTTCTGTTTATTGAAACTTATCAGTGATGATTCCAAAGAGGCAAATATTTCTTAAAGGAAAGCTTCGAGTTATCGAAAAAAGTGGCCACAAAACATCGGCATAACGAAAAGTCATTGAAATTGAAATGTTCGAATAATTTCTTGATGTGTTCGATGATGAATTGACTGATTGAAGGGTGATGAAGCACGACGAAATAATTGTGAACAATTGATAGCGTTGATTGCATTGCTGAGTGCGACAGTGCCGTGCATCGTGTTGATGATCATTCTGTGTTACGGCCGAAAACACTATGAAATCAAAGAGTTGAAATGCACAAGACCTATCCTCAAATCGGTTGGAGACGATTGGACCTCGATACGATTCATCGATGAGGATAGTGTCTGCTGATCAAACGACAACGATAGCTGATCGATCACTTTCTGTGATCTGTTCAACGATCTTGTGCAGCTGAACAATCAAGCATTCAAGCCAGATCGCTAGAAACGAAATAATCCAGCGGTGAATCACGCTCAGTAAACTTCAGTGAGATTATTTCGTGACTTTCAGGCTACTGTTCGTTTGTCTTCCATCACCATTGTGCAATATTAATTCGATCATAGACATGCAAGAAACATGCACGAGTCAATTAACATATCAAATGCAGTTCTTTTCCTCATCTGACGAATTTTTTGATCTCTTTCGTTCCCAATTAAATTTTCAAGACAAAATCAGTCACTGATTCGTTAAACTTCTGCTTCTGATTGATCAAATAGTTCAAAAGCAAAGTAAATCATTGCAAAATTATCATGAACTTTGCATGAATCGTACAAATCCAGTGCTCTTGTCATGTTTCACTGAAACTTCAGCAGTTGTTTCCCCACACTTCATTCATTCATTCATTGTTAACATTCGGTATTCACTGTCACTACTTCGATCATTCTGAATTTTCTTCATTTTCTCGTTCTTTTTCGATGGAATTCGCTAGTTTTCTGCCAAATTAAATGAATGAAATCGCTCACACCCAATTACATGCTAACTTCCAAGCGGCATAATGGATTA